CATGTCGTGCTTGCTTTTTTTTTTTTTTTTTTTTTTTTTGTTCCGCGTCATTTAGCTTGCTACGTAGTATTTCAGGAATTTCTTTCGATAGTACTTTTACATTGAGTGAACTACGTTTGTTTTCTCTACAAATGATGAAATAGTATTTTCGTTGCAAGCAGCTACTTAATACATTTTCTATGGATACCATTACCTTTCCATAAAGGTAGTGGTAAACAATATAATCAATCTTAAATTATTATATAAGTCGATGAGTCCACAACCATTTACTAAAAAAAATGTCAGTGTACTCAGAATAAAGCAAGGACTCCGAGTCCATTGTGTGTTTGAGGTCCGCACATAGCAAATGATATTGCATATCTTGAAGTGACTGATTTTGTTTAAGTGGCTTGGGCAGGCCATGGCTCGACAGTGCTTAGCTTTGCAAGATGATCCTTTTTGATTCATTGCTTGTTGTTTAACTTGTTAGATGGGAAAGTTTGTTATAGATGCTTTGTTTACTTGGACGTACATGATGATAAATGGCTATGTTCCATCAATGGCATAGAACATCTCAGAAGGTCTACGTGTGACAGTTGGTTTCATTGAATATGATATTCTATTGGAGTTTAAGGTGCCAATCCTCTAATACGGATTATTTGTACTCAACTAATGCTACACTCCAAAATGGTTTGAGTTTAAGTTGTACAAAATATTGTTAAAGAATCATAACTTTTGTCTCTCTTCAGATTAGTGTGTGATGCATGAGATGATTAATTGGTGAATCACCCTTTTGGTCTCCTTTAAGAATGAAACCTTTGGAGGAGACTGCTATAAAATTTATATTAAACTTGCTGCTCCGAGAGGGAATAAGGACATACTGTGCATTTGGTAGCTAAAATTTTGTGTCTGAATTTTTGAAAAACAGTACCCAGTTTGTGGGTGATTTGATAAGGAATGAAAGGAAATTCTTCCTAGGAGAAGAAAAATGGTGGAATTTATTCCACTTGGAGTGCTTTGCTTAAGGAATTTTGTAATTGATTTGTGTCAATTTGGAGAGTATTAGAGGCAATTGTTATTGGTGATATATATATATATATATATACTCCTTTTGCTTTTTAGGTTGTTGCCGTTAGTTCTTCTAATGAACGTCGTTAAGGGAAAAAAAAAGAAAACAAACTTTGTTGCCAGATTGGTACGGAACATAGCTATATGATACTATTGGTATTTGAAGTGATATGTTCAACTACGGAAACCAGTACATTTGCTCAAAACAATTTAGAGATCCTGTTGAAGGTTTATGAAGCCTTAACAGCCTAAGCACAGTGTGTTAGTATGGGGCTGGAGGGTCAAGCACCTTGAGTTAAATAAAGATTTATAGCAAGCATGGTGTCTCCAACTTTGTGCTTGAATACGTTTTGTAAATATTGACCATATGTTACTAATGTTGACTGTGATTTCTAACAATGGCTTATACCAGGGTCTGACGCCTTATGAGAAGAAAAAGTACGTCTGGAAAATGCTTTACATTTATATGCTTGGCTATGATGTTGATTTTGGTCATATGGAAGCTGTATCTCTTATATCTGCACCAAAATACCCTGAAAAGCAGGCAAGTTTCAGCACCTTTCATGCATTACTTGTAACATGGTGTACTTAGTTACTTTTACCCTTATTCTCCACTATCCTATGAACATTGGATGCATACAGTTGGAATCTGAATATTAAGTATTTCTTTCATCCCTAGGAACATATCCTGTGTTTTTCTTTGATTACTTAAAAGTTTGTTATATTAAATATCGAGATCCTTGGTTCAAAGCCCCTTGGAACCACCTACAGGGTATAGACAACTCACAAGTTTCCTAATGAGCTGGTATATGGTCGACGAGCCATTCTCAGTTTTGAGTTTGTAAATGTAAGAGGTTAAGAGATTTCTTTGAAAAAAGAAATTGAATTATAGAATTATTCATAGATGAGATTTCTTTTTTTAATTTTTTATTTTTACTTCAGGAGTCAAGTTTGGAAACATTTTATTGTACTTGAACCTTGTATGGATCGGAGAGTTATGATATATTTTCATTTTCCTATCATGAATATGTAATTTAAGTCTTGGAATAGAGTTTTCTTGATATTGATTAAAAGTTTATTCTTGACTTTAAATTGTTTCAAGTGTGATTTTATAATTGCAGGTTGGCTATATCGTCACTTCATGTTTGCTTAATGAGAACCATGATTTCTTGAGGTTAGCGATAAATACTGTGCGCACGGACATTATTGGTCGCAATGAAACTTTCCAATGCCTGGCGCTGACTATGGTATGGCCAGAGTCTTCAATTAATTTAACTCCAATTCTTTTTCTTTTACCTACAGACTATATACACACACACAGACACACATATGATGCTTAGGTCCGTCATTAGAAAAGTATCCAGCTGCAGAACCGTCGATCAATTTCAATTGCTTCTTCAGACATCATCTTCTCTGCATAAATTGTATCATCTTCTTCATTGTTTTTCTATTTCTCAAAGCATTATTTTTGCTTCATAGGGGTTTTTTAATATTATTTTTTGGTGAAACTTTCTTATCATACACGCTTTAGCTGCTTAAAGAATTTACGGTTTGATCACCTAAGAACTCATAACCAAATAGTTTTGTGTAAAATAATTTTTTCAGGCAGATATTCTTCTCAAATAGGGTTTAAAAGAAAGTATTGTTGTAGCTTCCATTTGGTTTTTCATTCAATCAGGTGGAGATCTATTGACTAGCGAGTGACCCTTTCTGCTGACGTTACCT